ATTAGCCACCAGTTTCGCATGTGCTCGGAGAGCCGTCCACGCGTTCAGCGATCGTTGAGACTTTGAACTCGAACGCAGAATTAAGAGAGGAGGTGGGGTCGGTGACCGTTGGGCGGTCTGGATCGAACACGGTTCGACTGGCAGCGTCAATGCTTGCCTGCTCCTTGATGAGACCCGTGAGCAAGAGGATGTCGGCAGCCGACTCGACATCCACTTTGATCGAACTGGTCTTCTTGGACTTGGGGACGAGAGTCGCCTTTGTGACCTCGATCAGACGTTGAATCAGGCCGTCAAGGGGCCTCGATGATGATGTTTGGCCCCCTGGAAACAGTTTGGCTATACGAGCCGAGCGTGGAGTGGTCGATAGCTCATCTGCTTCGATGAGAGGACAAATCGGTGGGGTGGCGAGACGCGTTCGTTTCCGATCACGCGAGGCCGGGGTAGATTCAACAGAAGGACTAGGTCCTTCGGTTGAGAGAGGTGGGAGGATGACCTTCTTGAGAGCGGTCGATTGACGAGTTGAAGGTGCTGAGGGAGTTGGGAGAGCTTTCGTCGCTGCTGGAGCCGGCGGTTCGGCTGGGCCCAAAGCCTCCGTCGCGTCGTCGTACACCGACACGTCGTCCCTAGGAGTCGAGACGACTTGCTGACCGGGGTCCGGTGGTTCGATGTCCATCCTAACGCGCGAAACGAGCTAGAAGAGACGTGGAAGTGAGAGAAAAAGGGGATGGTAGAGTGGAAAGGTGAGTTCGAAAAGTTAGGAGAATGCGTTGGATGACTGCTTGCGCAGTCACGGAGGTGGTCACGTGACTAAATTCGAAAATTTGGTTCGGGACAGAATCCTCCCGCGATCATCCTCTCAAAGCATCAACCCTATACGGTCAATTTTGTACAAAAGTTTGACCAAAGTTGCCCGCAAAACTCCAGCAAATTGGCGGGCAATTTGTGACAAGCTCTGAATTGACTGTATATCCCACGGAGAAAAGCAGGCTTCACTTTCAGCCGTCAATGGCGGTGCCGCTGCTTGCATCGGGGACGCGCGGTGTCGATTCTCCGATGTCCCTTTGCTCACGATGAGCGAGCCAGTACATGTGGTACGCAATAATACATTACACGGGCAATTGCAATAGGTTAGCTTGATATTCTATGTTTGATTTGCTGAAAGCTTTGAGCGAACGATGGAAATGCCATTTTGGGCCAATCTCGTCTTCGATACCTTTCTTGTCCGTCCTGATTTCAAAGCGAACAGGGGCACAGAAGGCACAAAAGAGTTTCCCTTGTGAATATCTTCAAACAAGACGCTCTCGCATTGCAGTTCCACACCCACGCCTGCGATGGACATTCAAAGGCGATGCAACTCTGATGCATCAAGCTGTTTCACACAATACTGATTCTCGAAATTTCATACGCTCCTCTTGTGATTTTTTGAGAAATTGAGTATCTTGACCAGGTTGGAAATATCAGGATCGGAGAGCAAAGTCAAGTGTGCAAAAATCTATGACTTCAGATAATTTCACATGGTGTTGTTTCATGAGAAGGCGTCATCGAACAACAAAATCACAAACAACACGATTCCGCCACCAAAAAGCTTCAAAATCAAAAAACCAAAAGCAGATCGTGTGCGCTGCACATAAACTGGAGAGGATGGTGTGAGAGGTCTTGTACTTAGTAGCTAGGGTAAAAGTTTACTTTCACTTACTGCGCTAAACCCTTGAAGTGACACCCTTTTGATGAACGATGGGTGGTGAACTGGTGAGAACTTTTTGCCAGAGCAATACGCTCGAGCTCACTTGATAGCGATTTTGATCTATCGAGACGAGATCAAAGAAACAGGAAGGTCCTCTCTTAAGCTCGCTATATCTTGATTTATAAGAACCTGCTTCATCACTGAACCTGTATGTACCTTTTTTCAAATAGGCTCTTTGTGCCTCTGTTTTCTCTTATTTCCTACTTGATTTTCTCATCTAAAGTATTGTATTACATTCCACATAGCGTTCCATTTGGTCATCGTATCTCTTTCAAATCCGACAAAGCTCATTGAGGAAGATCGACAGGTTCTTGAGAGGAAACTGGAGCATCGCCCAATAATCGGTCGGAAACTTGGAAATTCTGAGGGGAGTAAATCGGATTTTGAGATCTTATAATCGTCGTGGAAAATTGAAATCATCTTGTGTGTATGAAGATCTTGGTCAAGGTATAGAGGAATGTGACTAATCATTGGGAGTTCAGAAATCATACTCCTCAACTTTCAGTTCTTATTCCGTTTGCTATTTTCAGATCGCATCATGAAGAATCAGTGCAGTCGCGTTTGGCCGTTCTTCTTGGTGATATCAGCTCTTTCCTTCATCCTGCCGCAAGCAGTCGGTGCCTTCTCAGCTAGTTATGATCATCCAAGCGCGCAAGGGCGTGCCACGGAGGAGAGGTATGCGTTCATCCACCATATGGTCGGAAACACCTACAGCTATCGATTGGTGGGTCTACATATGTCTTCGGATTCTATGTCGAGCTCAAACTATTCTCGAAATCGAGACTAAATATGACGTTTCTTGTTATCTATCCTCACAATTATCTTAGGTTGACTGGATAACAGATTTAATGCATATACAAGAAGATGGCTTTGATGCAGTTGCCTTGAATCTCGGACCGTGAGTTGATTTCAAACTCATATCTCTTTAGCCTAGTTGGACTAATCCAAAAAGGGTGCCTATGTTTGTAGAGACTGTTGGCAATCCGCGTCTGTCGCACTTGCGTACAAGGCCGCGTCTCAGCTTGGAAACAAAGTCCAACTGTTCCTCAGTCTCGACATGTGTGTGTCCCACATGGCTTTGGTACTGTCCCACCTGCAAATTAGGTCATTCTACTAACCAAAATGTTCTTCGATTGGCTTCGAGGAAATTGTGTACTCGCAGGACTAGTTGGCCCCAAAGTGGCGACGCTGACGCGGCAAAACTGGCTGCCCTTGTCAACAATGTATGTCCATGCTTTCATCGCACGGCGAGTCTCACATCCCCAATGTGATTGAACCACGTACTCAGAACTTGAGCTGATGTCCGTATCTCCTGAATACATTTACAGTATGTGAACCATCCAGCACAATTCAAATACCGCGGTAAAGCTTTCATCAGCACCTTTGCTGGAGATCAATATCCAGGATCCTTCGGAAGGGCAACAGTCTGCGAAGGTTGGGATTACTTCCGTTCCCTCTTAACCACTGCAAATACGACTGGGACGTTTTTTATTCCTGCGTTCTTTCCTTCTGACATCAAGTCGGTATTGAGCTGCGTCGATGGACTTTATCATTGGAATAGCGCTTGGAGTCTGACGGCAGATCCAGTTAGCGATGCCACCGATAAGGTACCCAGTCTGAAAAGAGCCTACTATCTATCTCTTGTGATCATGCTGAAATGTCCCGTCTCTCATGTAACTCTGCGTGGTCTGTGGCAGGACTGGATAAGTAAACTTGGTCCCGAAAAATCCTACATGTCCAATGTCTCCCCCGCCCTATTCACCAATTACGGCGCAAGCAGTTTGAATAAACAAATTCTTTACAACACTGGCAACAATTACGCTCAGAGATGGGCGCAAGTGAGTGCGATATCCAGTATCAAGTTTGTTCAAGTATCAAGTGAGTCCTTGAGATATCTGGTCTTCTGTGAAGACACTTATCACCTGTGAAGTTGAACCCGATGACTCGGAAATTTGTTTAGCTTATAACGATTTTGGGGAGTCTAGTTATATCGGTGCACGGCCACACTCTACTCAACTTCAGCCAGCCACAACTACCTGGGTCAATTCTACCCCAATTTCATCCTTGATTTTTTTTCAACTTCCTGTGGCACCCATTTGATACTGATAATTTTTCAAATGCAGTAGGTTAATGCGGCAAATCACCTACCATGGGAAAGGATAACCAAGCCTTATATCGAGGTGTACAAGACGGGAAAACTCACACTTCAGCGATCAGACTTGATTATCTGGGAATACCGCCTGCATCCCAAGTCTGCTGTCGCAGCAAAGGACATGGTAGGTAGACCCCCCAATGCTGATTGGCTTTCAGATGAGGTTAGTCACCAAGTCTCTTTCAATATCTTTGCTCTGTACTTTATTTGACTTTGGATTACTATGGCTAATTGTGCTAATTTCATGTTTCACTCAGGTATACGTAACCGCTTATCTTTCTCAAGACGCAGAAGTAAGAGTAGGTATGGGACGGAATTTGTCAACTGTGCTAATCTTTGCGGGCAAACCGGGTATGAACCATTTTGTGGCTCCTTTTCCCGCTTCTCCCGACGGCCCCGTTGTGATTCGTATGTATCGCAATGGAACAAACGTAGGAGGCTTGCAACAAAGTGAAGTTGAAATTACCTCTCAACCCGCCACCTACGACTTCAACCCAGTATGTTTCCTCTTCTTCTTTAAATCAGTGATGTTATTGTCTATTTGGCGCATGTACTAAAGACTGATCTTGGGTTTGTCTATCCCTTTCGCGCTTACAGATTGTAGATCAGTTTTTCCACGATCCTGATTGGGAGGCATGTCTTCAATGAAATTCCCCAAAACCCTCACCATTCTACTCTTACTCATGAATTTGAGAGCCTTCATATCGTTTAATTTCATTGATATTGAACTCATCTCTCCTTTCATGTACATAGTATACGCATATAGATTGTTCCATCCAAGGAACAAGACTCTTCAATGACCAGCTGCCTTTCATTTACAACCTAAACATTGCATCCATGAAAAATTCTGTTCCTGTTGGTTCAAGTGCCATCTGTGCTTAAATTGTGGGCAGAGGTACCTTGGCAATAGATCAACGGACAAGAATGGGAACTGAACAACTAGAAAATTTGTAAAGCATCACATAGACTGCCTGATTTCTCATGGATCATATCATGACAGTTTGCATAACACCTGCCTACAGTGGACATGCAGTCTAAAATTCAGTCAGCCAAGATATGTATCATACCGCAGGTGCCAAAATCAGATATACTGTGTCTGCTCTGCCAAATATTGAAGATGCCCCAGGGAGATAAATTTGGGAAAAACATAATTTGAGGAGAAAAAATCTTCATAATATTGTCACTGGTGGCCAAAGGCATGACATCATCTGTGAGTTCTATTGGGACAAGTGAAGCAGTGTATGAGTCCAAGAACATAGGGCCAGGACAATAGCTGGCTCCTCAGAAGATAGGCAATACAAACTGTGCAAAATTTCATCTCCACAATCCTGACACCCTGGACCACTCATACAGCTCAGATTTGAATTCATGAATCCAAAGATTTAAGCTGGATACTTCCAATAAAGATATTTAAATCATTTCATCTTTCAAAAAGAAGGAACCAAAAATGGCAACACAAACTCAAGGAAGTGCAGAAAATCTGAACAAAGATGTGGATCATCTATTACCAAATTTCAAAAAAGAGAAGAACCAACAGGAAAGAGGAAGTACCAGCAGAGGAAGAGTAAAAGCTAATAGAGGTAGAGGAAGTGGTGGTAGGACAACAGCTCAACAAACAAGAAGTGTAGTGAAAGGTTGAATACGTAAACCAAAAGAAGTACCTACTGACAACAAAGAGAATGATCAAGATGTACACAGAGATAAGGATGATCTGCCAGATATCAAATATGGTAGTAAGAAGGAGGAGAGCACATATCAAGAGAGTGGTAGAAATGGAGGTGAATTTGAGAATGGAGAAGAAAGCAATGGTGGAGGTGATGAAGATGAGCATACCATTCCATTAGGTAAGCTTTAAATTAGAATAAAATCACAACTTCTATCCCAAACAAAAGTATACACAACATCCTCCCACACTTCTGAGGCCCATCATGTTCACCGCATGAAACTACCATCATTTCCACAGCACAATTTTGTTTGAGGCAAAGATGCAAAGACAGGTCATATTGTTGAATCAGATGATAAGTGTGAACCTCAGTAGATTAGAGCAATTTGTTTTGGACATACTGCAGCCACACAGCTAGGTCAGAAGTCCTGAAAGTCCTGAAATCCTGAAGAAAGTCCTGAAGTCCTGAAGAAGTCCTCAAGTCCTCAAGTCCTCAGAATATGAATCAGGTGCAATGCAAAGAAAAGGAAGGACTCAGACTGCCAACAGACCTGCTAAGATCAGAAAAACCATGAACCCAGGGAAAAATTTAGCTCATAGACTGATAGGCCTATCACCATGCTGCAATAGTGAATTACAGCCTGTGTTAGATACATTCCCTTGACAATACTTGTTCAGCATGACTTTTAGCAGAAAAAACACATAAGTCAAACCAAACAAAACAGAGCAATTCCTGCTCAGATGTCTTATCATATGTTGGCTTACAAGTTCCAAGAAAATGGCACCAAAGTTTCTTAATGTTTTCACCATCTTTCAATCTATATGGTCAATACTGCAGAACTGAATATCATCTAGAAGACATTGCATTGAGACTTAGATAGTCTTAGCAATGAAAGCAAAATATCTCAATGCTTGGGCCCCAGCACTAAAGTAAAACGGAACTCACTGAACCAATGTGTGTAGCCATACATTACCAGATGGCACACTATCAGATGCAGGAGTACAAGATGACAGACTAGCAGAGCAAGACATTACAGGCTCCAAAGCTAACAGAGATCACCAATACTTTGACAATGTCAGCCTTGAGGTGTATTCTAGAATACTCCCATTTGTCAGAACAGCAGATCCAGTGTAAAAGGATCCACTAGTCAATGGAAACCAAGCTCAAAAATGCCAAGACCCCAAAGCCAAGGAGTGTTAGTGATCTAAAACAGGGAGTATGTGTTACAGGTTTCAGCATGCCAGATATGAGCCTTGATGACCGCACAACAAGAGACCCTGACATACTTGATCAGAGAGAATTATGGATTCAATATATAAGCAAAGATGTTTTCTTGTGTGAAGAAGGAGACAACCTTTTTAGAACCAACAACGTTAATAGTTTTACCACACCACTTTTACTGCACCTCATCTTTGAATTAGTATTTTATATCAAAATACTTTTTCCTTTATCTTTCATTCAAAAGAAGAACTATCTAGCATTCTTATCATTTAGAATCCTTTATCATATCTTCTTTCCTATCAAGGACATTGTTTTTCTTTAACTGGCTATCTCTCTATCAATTGATGGTTGTCTTACTATTGAATTGATACCGTAGATAGTCTCTTGTTTCCTTTTGATGATAGCTTCATCAAACCCGCACTCAAGTGTGACCTAAAGCCAGATCATTCTCCTTGTATTCACTTTAGAAGACAGTCAAGTGTACAGCACCTTGATTAGTATCAGGCAGCAGTACCCATTCCACACCTAAGACAACTATATGTAACGACTATATTTTCTTTTTACTTACTTACACAGAATTGAAAAATAATCTCCCTCAAGTTTCAATAATAATTGTCTCAAACTTGATAGAATACATTTTGTAAGTACCATTCAGCTCTGAACTACCAGTCATCTGCCACAACTTAGAGTCTCAGGCTGACAGACAACCTGTATATTGTAGGAGGAGGACTAGAGAATATCAAGTAGGCTGGAACTTGATCTCAAACGGTGATGATTAGATCACAGCTGTACCCGGAGGATGCACGCTGTCACATCTCACCCCAAGTGGAAGACATCAGACACAAGACCCACAAGTCCAATGCTTTTACAGAGGCTTCAATCATAGTCAGCATGATCATCAGGATTGTGGAGATAGTAATGGAAATGGTAGCAATTCACAAGGAAGTAATAGAGTAAATGGAGGTAGAGCCTAGAGGAGAGGGTTTGATAAACACCACAAACCAAGCTCCAACAACAGTCATGATTGGGGTGGTGGTCTCAAAGTTTAGACCAGCTGCTTTTGAATCCCTGAAAGGAGCTTATAAAGCCATAGCAGGTAGTAGTGGAGCGTCAGTATATCAGTGAGTTGCTGTCCTGTTCAGTTTCATCTTTGCTTGTGTGTTATTTGGACTAGAGTAGGGTCTTGAAATGAAAATGCATATGACAGGCTCAGAAAGATACCAAAACACATATATGATGAGAGAGAGAGAGCAACTTGGATGAGTCTACTTCAACATTAGACCATTTGTGAGGAGGACAGATTGAATAAAGGTTCAAACTTAACTGTCAGAGAGAACATTACCACTGAATAAAACAAGCCCGTAGTGGGTTGCAGTAGAGACCAGAAAACCCATTTGGCACAGGCAATAGAAGTACACACTCCTAGAAACAATACTCAAACAGAAACACTCACAGAACCCTTGGCAAGTCATGGGAAGTGGCCATCAAAAGCTAGATAATGAATATCAAAGAGTGGACATTGTTGGCAAGAAAATGTGGTTTGGAGAAGGAAGTAAAAGAAGTGATAAGAGGTCTGAAAGAGAGATTTACTCAAGGTACCCCAGATCATAACCTGCCAAGCAGGAGATGGTGAAAACCCAATAGCTATAGCTCTGTGTCAGCTGTTGAAGAAAAGATTATGCAAAATTCATACAGAGAGAAGGCACCAGGGTTTGGACCACTCACCCATGAGGAATTGCATGCAAAGCAGATTTCCATCAGAATAAATCCATTGGGGAGCATAATGAATAAGAACAGATTGTTACAGATGATCATCTATCCTACCCGGTGGGAGACAAAGACATCCACTTGGTGAACACCATGGTTGACAATCATGACTTTGACAATTTGTTGGCGGATTTATATGCAGTGGTGAGCTACTTCAACAAACATTTCAAAGAAGCTATAGAGATGGAAATACATGATTGGAAAAGGGCTTGTAGACAAGTAGTAACAAAATAAGAGGAGTGGAGTTACTCAGCTATAAAAGACTTTCACAATGGGATCTGGATGGACATTGCAGTACCCTTTGTAGGAGTAGCTGGATGTGGTACATTGGTGCACATGGCTCATGCATGGAGACTAATTAGTCCAAAACAACTAGGGATCAATAGAATATTCAGGTGGGTAGATTATAAGATGATTGTACGGAAAAATGAAGTAACTTTTAACTAGAGGAGGCAGTCAAATTAAGCTCACAAATGGGCATAAAAACCAACCAAGAGAAGTTACAAGACTTTTCCAATGTGCAAAAATATCTCAGATTCATACTCAATGGTGTAGAAAAAACTGTGTGGATACCAGACAAAAAGTTGAAAGAATGGCTAGACTCAGCAATCAATATGTTAGACAAAATAGTACTGTGTAGCCCAAAAGAAGCAGACAGTTTAATTAGAAAAATTGCACACAATGTACATTTTGCCTAGGGCTGTGACCCAGACCTGCCCGGCCGACTCTGCCCGACGTCTTTCATGGAGCTGACGGCACGCGCCCCAGGGCATCCAGATCCTGCTTGATGACAGCTGAATATAGCCCCGTGGGCGCTTCAGGCGGCTTGGGCGCCCGACCCGGCCAGGGTGCCGACTCTTTTTTTTGCCAAAAAAACGCCTTCACACTATTTCCCGGCCCTGATCATCCCTGAGCAGTTTTCAGAGGTCATTGGGCTCCCTCAGGGCTAAATATGGCCCCGGGGCCGGCCCTGAAGTTTCAGGGTTGGGTCACAGCCCTAATTTTGCATAATATCAACACTGTCACAGTTACTTTACTGGTAATGTATCAGTGATACCTGGTCAAGTATTAAAAGGTATCAAAAACTGCAATAACTTGAGTAAAGTATCTTGAAGAAATACTGTTACTATACTCAATACTGTATTGGTCTTTGTTCCACAATATCATCACCATAGATATATAAGCCTAAATGGGACAAATATTTGACCAATCTCCATCAACTCCTGGGTAAAGTATCAGGTTTTCGATACTTTAATTGACACCATATTGGAATTGACAATACCATCCCAAGGACCTGGGATTAAAGTAATGGGCAGACCAATACTAGGTACCAAGGTAATTATACTTAAAAAAGCACTTTACTATTACTTTACTGTAAACAGTAGTAACTGCGGTAGTGTTGCTGATATGAATCCATATATAAGAGGCTTTTATTGTTGGCTAAACTGTTTGAACAAAACAAACATTGAAAACTTCTTGTCACTGAAATCTCAAAGAGACCTTGAAAGCTGCAGAGAAGTGTAGACCACTTTCAAGCTTAGAAGGATAATCCCAGTGGTAGAAACTGAAAGGATTATATGGGTATTAGGGATCTTAATGCTGCAATTTTTGACTGAGGTGAGAGGACGGAATTTCTGGGTAAAAATGGACAATACTATCACAGATTCAACTATTTGCAAACCACAACCCACAAGTGACCTTGTGAACAAAGAGCGGAAGAAAACCCAGACCTACTTCTACGCCTTCAGTGTGACATAACCAAAGAAAGAGTGGAATCCAGAAATAACAATGGCAACAGTTTATCTAGGTTTTCAGACAAAGAAAATCAGATCAGAACTAGATTAGAAATTGTTTTGCCAGAAGACCTTGCAAGCTCATTGGAAAAAGTATGATATCTCCAAAAGTGAAAAGCAAGATATTGGAATTTTTCTTCAAGATGAAAAGGGTGAATCAAAGTGGAGAGAAGATATTGTACAAACTAACATGTTATTGGGAGTTTGGGCAGATACAACCTCAATTAATTACAATAGTGGTGTATCAAGACTAATAAATTTTGCACATGAAATAAGGCCTGAAGATGAGAAATTGTTACCTTTATCACTTAGGGCGTGTTCACTTAGGCCATGTTCACTTAAGCGCTTTTTCGTGAAAATTCGCATTCTTGACTGTTGAGAAATCACATTCTGTGAAATATGTTTGATTTCTTATTTATAAGCATTCTAGAAATCACAGAATGCTTATAAAAAGCGATTTATTGGGACATTCTAAGGGCACGTTCACTTAAGGAATTTCTGACCAAAAATCACATTCTGTAAAATTTTTAATGCAAAAATGAAACATACACCACCAAATAGACACTTTAAATTTTGCAGAATGTGATTTCTCACCAGAAATTGCTTAAGTAAGTGAATTTGCCCATAGGCCGCGTTCACTTAAGCACTTTTTTGTGAGAAAGTGCTTTCTTGAATGTTGAGAAATCACATTATGTGAAATGTGTTTGATTTCTTATCTACAAGTGTTCTGTAAATTGCAGAATGCTCATAAAAAGTATTTTTTGGTGATATGTATACTGTTCTCAGTAATCTCTGAGTATTCCACACTCTCAAAGTGTCACATTACTTCCACACAGCCCTCAAAATGGATTATGGGTATTTCTACTCCCACTGGGGTACCACCGGTGTGGAGTACAGTGGGTGCCCCCACTCTGACCTTATCATCCCAGTGCAAGGTTAGAAGGGATTAAAACTCTACAAAGTAGACTGGAATTTCAAAAACATATTTAGATTAGGCATACACATGTTTACCATATAAGATAGGGCCCATGCATTTTCCCTTGTCTCATCAGGTGTGATAAAGATGTCAAAGAGCAAACCTGCAATTAAAAGCTACTATTGCCCGAACCTATATCTGCTTCAGTTTTTTCCTTTAGTTATCTATAACATTTGTTTGGTGTTATTGTCATCCACTTGACTTTCTTTAGTTCCTTCAGTTGTTTTTTTAGTTTCCTGATTTTCATGCTGTGTACACACCCACCAAGACCCACTATAATCAAGCCACTGGTTCCTGGCAAGCTTTTGCCTTTCCCTCCTGAGTATAAACATACCACTTGTAACTGCTGCCCATCAATCTTCTGCATACACAGGAAAGCGCACACCACTGTGTAAAAGAACAAAGCAACAACCTAACACACCACTTGATGGACGTGGGGGGTGATTATAATTCATTCTCAAGAGTCAAAAGTGATATTTTGGACCTCAGCTCACAGTTATGTTACAGTGCACTTTTGACAAATATTAACCGTTCCTTTGATGTGACCTCCCATAAAACTCAGGTCACTTTGGTACGTCACCGTGAGAAGTTTTAATCCTTCCTTTATTTAGCTTTGATTATAATCATTTCAGACTGTACTTCTGTACAACTCGCTATGTACAAGCCTTTGGTTTCTCTGCCCACACCTGGTCAACAAGGCAAAGACCTAAAATGAGATTCCTTGGATAAGAAAGTTATAAGATAACTATTAGAACTGAACAAGGCGTAGTCCAAAGATGCATGGATGGTTGATTACTACAGACAAATTTGAATATATGAGAAACTTGTACTATACTCTGTGTCATATGTTTATATGTACAAGATAGAGACTGCACATAGTCTAAATTTTCAGCTTTTTTGGCTGTGATTGATTCTTCATCATTAATCATTGATCATAGGGAAATTGGGAGTGGGGAGAATCTAAATTTTCAGCTTTTTTGGCTGTGATTGATTCTTCATAATTAATCATTGATCATAGGGAAATTGGGAGTGGGGAGAAGCTAGGAGTGTGATCAATTGCAAAAATAACACGTCAGAGAAGCCAATTGTGTTTCGAAGTTGCACCCAGCCATTTGCATCTGGTTCAATCTAGTTGGGTGCGTCCAGGCTACAAGTGCCGCGGAAGTGGAGTTAGTATGAGATACATGCTGACAAAAGCACAATTGAAGAGACTTGCAATGTCCATTCCAAGAGCATTTGTTTGGAATCCATCTCTTCTTTGGTTGCACCGATAGCTTCGAAAGCCTTTGGAAAGAAAAAGTAATTGAAAATAAGTTAAAGTGGTCGGGTGGTCTTGAGACGCAAGACAAGTGTGACTTACCCCTCTGGTCAACCAGAGCTCTTTGCAGCCAACATCGGGTCGAGATGAAGGAATATGCATCGTACAGCCATCTACGACTGGGACTACAGTCAGACTACCTGGGGCAGCTGTCTGCCGAACTTTGCCTACAAGACTGGCTCGCATAGTACGAGAAACATTTAGTCGGATGTACCCTGATGACTAAGATGAAGCATAAGGATTCTCACAGTCTCTTGAAGCAATTCCTTTTATCAACACTGCCAGTGCCCGTTCAAGATAGAATCATAGGTTGGGCGCTGCAGACTTATCTACTAAGAGAAAACTACTCACGACTCGAGCCAGCCTGTGTGTGTAGCCTGCGGGTCCTCATCGACAGCCCCGTTCCAAAGACAGGCAGATACGGAGTTTGAGGTGTAGGGTTGGCCACATATCTGGATGCAACAATAAACACATCAACACTGGGCTTACCGCGGGAGATGGGTGCATGGCGTACGGTTTCTTCGTCTCCCGACACTTCAACACTCTGGTTTGGCCAAGGGCCAATTTTGTGAAGAGTGGTTCATTGTCAGGCATCAGATCGAGTAAAGTCTTCCCAGAGCACTCTTAAAAATCGGCGATGCGTACCCCTATAAGATTTTTGAACGGGTTTGGGGTAGACGGTGAGGTTGCGAGGTTGGGATTTTCACCTGGAATCTTGATATAAGTGAGAAGATCAAGGTCAGCGCGTGAGCACACATGAGTATATCCTTGCTGCGCTTACCATCCTGACCTGGCCCTGCGCCATGAACGGGGTATTTGTGGGTCTTCTTTGAAGTTCTTCCCAAAAGGAGTAGCAAACTGTGCGAGGGAGTGCGCGCTCTTGGGAGATGACGAATCGAGCGCTTGATAGCAACAAGAGGGCTACAAAGTTTGTTAACATCTTGATGACTAGATCTATGGATACGATGAGCTGCTATCCATGGAAAAGGCTGCATTGTTTTTATCAAGTCAACGCCCTCCGTGAACGTCACGCGACTAGACTCGCAGATCTGCCAGGGCAGTGGCAGACCCTTCTCCTATCAAATTGACCAGGAGTCTGGAGATGCAGCCATTGTCCGGCGGAATGCCTTTTTGCCAAGTCGGACCGAGGCTAACCCGTTATGACCGCGCCAGCGCAGCCTACACCAAATCACTATCAAGCGAGATCATGATCTCCATGCAGATGCCGTGGGAGCAGCTTCCAGATTTCGCGATAAGTAGGTTATCGTTCTCATAGCAGAGGATAATAGAACTCTCGGACTTCTGCTTAAATTCAATTTAGACCGCTGGTTCTGAGCAAATATGATCAAAAAGAGTCAATCAAATAGCTATTCAAGGGGCTTCTGACAAATGATGGAGCTGGAAACAAGGCCTTTAAAGCGTCTTGCAATCCATAATATTTGTGCGGGAATTCTCCCAAAGACAAACAAGCTATCACCACAATCCACTTAGGCTGAATGTCCAAGTTACAACACATTGGGTCAAACAGTTGAGGTTATTGGCACCTGAACCTGGATTGAAATGAGTGTAGCGGTGGCAGTGCTGAGTTTTCTTATACGCCGGTTTATTTTCATCAGCTTCACTTTTGCCTGCTCTTTCTTTCTCATTTCCTCCACCATCACCATCTTTCTTTTCACCTTTAGTGCCTTATGCTTCTTTTTGCATCTCCATCTTCTTTTCTGTAGCTCTTTGAGTCCTTCCTCTTGTCTTCTAACCACTGTTACCTGATCTTGATGCTGATACAGGGTTTGTTAATGTTTCTTGAGTTCCATCTTTATTAGTTAGAGCTGTGTTGTTCAATTTGTCTGTGTAATCTTGTGCCAAGGATCCTTTGATGATGTCGATGTGTGTTATTTTGTTTCTCACATCTTTGACAAACTTGGAATCTGAAACTCAATGTTCCAATTGTCTACTTGAATTTCCTATTCCATAGCTTGGTATTTTTTCATGTTCCTCCTTCTTTCTTGTTAATATTTGAGGCTCTGTAGATAAGATAAACAATTTTTTTATTGGGATGGGCATGGGCAAGTGAAAAACTTTGCATACTTAGTACCACCCATTCAAGGCAAGTGAGACTCATGCATGAAGCTGGTTGCAAAATACTCAGCCCCCTGAGTTGTGCTATACCCTCCAATGATCCTTGGACAATCCAGAAAGGTTGGACATGCATTGTCTGGCTCAATCTAATCTGCGTATGGCAGGCGTACTTTTGGGGAAACACAAAAAATTTGCACTGTCCATGATGTTTGGAGCTCACCCAACGTCCAGCACATTTGCAATGTACACTGTGCTAATAGATGGGCTCTGATCCCTGTATCTTTTTGGCTGTCTATGTACAGTCCTCTCCACGTGGTTCATGTATTTAATTATTCAGTTTCTGCAGTAGTACTGGGACAATCTCAAAAAGAGAGCTATATATTGAAACAATTTGATTGCTCATATCACTTTTGATCCATTTGATTGAGTTAAGCCAGAGATATCAAGAAAAATCACAAACAAAGAGATAGAAAGAAGAGAAAAGACAACTGTAGCCCTCCAATTGGAACAATTTAGTCCACCTGAAATCCATGAGAGCAGTGTTGTACAGGGATTTGGCGCCTGTCAATCAAGGTGTTCTCCAGCCGGTATCCGGCGAGTTCAAGCCATTCCGACAAACAAACCGCCAGATTATCCAGCCACCGGATGATGTCAAAGGCCTTTCCGGCATACAGATCCGTTGGCTGATCCGCCGGATATCCAGCCAAAACACTGGGTCCGGGTCCCTGACAACACGCATAAGCTGCAGTATCTGGCGTGTTCAGGCCATTCCAACAACCATACCGCCAGATTATCCAGTCACTGGATGGTTTCAAAACCCTTTCCGACATCCGGATCCGACGGATGCCCCAACGGATATCTGTCGGATCTTCGGTGCCGGAGTACACCTTGACCTGTCAATCAACATGTGATTGGGTGACAACCTGGTGAATCCTGGCTTGCTTGAACCCCAAACCAACGGAAAAAGATGGCCATCTGTCCTGCAAGGAATGACCAATTGGATTTTTTTCAAATCCATGCGTCCAACATCTGATCTGGTGTATGACAGGATATCCATTGCACTTCTGAAATTCTGGAACTTTGGCTTGAAATTTCTAGATTTTTTTGCTTTTTTACAACTCACTTGATAGTAATCACACTCAATCACTTGCTTGATAATCAATTCACTTGGTATAATTCAATCAAAGGCAGAAAGGCTAAGACTTGATAGGCTTTGAGCAAACTTGCCCTCCGTGTTCACTTGAGAATTTACAGGTTTCAAGTTCTCCATTTGATCTAGTTGTAATTTTTCCACTTCAACATTTGCCTTTTGAATTTGATCTGATCTTGCTTTCATTCTAGATCATCTCTTTTGTTTTGATTCCTCCACTACCCAATCAGTCCACACACAAGAGTTGAACTTTGAATACTCAAATCACTTTTTACCTCTCAATCACCATATTAAACTTAAATCATATTATCACCTCTCAATCATCATCAAATTAATCTTACACAAAGTCTCAAGCCACAAACAGTGTTTCTAGAACAACAACTGATTCAGAATCTCAAGTAGATAATTCTGATATCACTGAGACTTCAAATACAACCAGTTGCCAACCAAGCCATGTGTGGATATATTTCAAGAAGGTACTGGGCAAACAACTCAACAATTGTCATTGTATCATGAAGAATGGAAAATTGTGTGAGAGAGAAATGACCTGTGATAATAATTCAAGTTGTAAATCAATGAGAAATCACCTCAAGTCTCAGCATGATGATTGCAACAGCAATTCAAAAAATCAATCTGACATTACTCAAGCATTCAAGAAGGTCAAGACATCTCACTCAGTAAGTCTTGAATTTTCCCTTTTCCCTACATTCAAAGACCAAGACAACATAGCCCATGATGTTCAATTATCATGATTTTAAGAACGGTCTCTACACCAACACACTTGGCATTGCACTGACACATTTCATTTCTGAATGAAAAATTTCTATTTCAGCCATGGAATGTTTTTCATTTTCCTCTCCTGCGCCTGCACTTGACCACACAGAGAGCCTACTTGGTCACACAACCTATGGCCTACTGCCCCCCCGCACTGTTCTGACACATGTAGCCTCAGGCTTCAACTATGGCAGTTTCAACGCAAGGTTTTGTAGACACTATTTGATACTTAAGAATAAAAACTACTGATTTAAAAACAAAACTACATACCTATACAATGGAAAAATTGAATATGTACATCTTTAAATAATCTATGTGAGAAATGCAAGACTCCTTTTAATGGAATGAAAATCATTCCAAGACCTCCAGAAACTATGCACTCCTAAAGTCAAGGGGATGCTTGTCAAATGCTATGCAATAGCTCAATACATGTGCCAAGCATACTATCACTTTGAAGACCATGTCAAGAAGTTAAGGTTTATCTTATGTTGTATGATTGAAAAACTTGATATTGATGCTTGAAATCAATCCTCATCATCCAGGTGCACATGAATCATGCAAACAATCTTGGAAGTATCATACTTGATTATTTAAAAAAGGGACTTGATAAACAACAACAGCCTGAAATCTTTCTTGAAGCTGTTTTTCCTTAGGCTGGATTCCTCTAGAAAGTTTACAGCTTGGACAAGCTGTGTACAGATGCACAAGACTTGTAAAGACTTCCAGTATATTCTGAAGCTTTCTGGAGCCAACTTTCCCTGAATGCAACACCACATTTTTGTGCATCCCTTTGAAAAATGTTTACAAGAAACCTTTCTTGCAGGAGACACAGTCAACAAATATTAGAAATTGCATAAGAGTTGAAGCTTAGTACTTTTCTTTGATCACATCCTTGCATGATATATCAAAGAAATTTGATCAAGGAGGTGTGTAAGTGATGGTTTAGGAGGAGTTGATAGGTGAGTGACCAGTTGTTTAGTGGATAAGACATTTGAAGACTTTGAACATGAGTCAAGTATGATTTTGGCTTCAAGGTAAACTCATGAAAGTCTCCCTCTTGCTTCACGAGTTGAGTTGATCAAGTCTCTCCCTCTCCTTGTGGGTATGAAGTCAACTTGGCTAGTGACGTAGGGAGGGACTTCCATAAGTTTAGCATGAAGTGATTTGGCCAAAGAGTTACAGATATTGGAGTCAAGTTATCCAGGCACTTGTCATCATCCAGATCTGTGTGGTATGTACCAAGATTTTGGATTGACAATCACATCTTTCAAAACCCAAGTGCTTGATCAATATCTAATTTTCATTTCAATGACTCAAACAAGTGTGTTTTTGATCACTCTGCTTGATCCCCAACTTGATGAACAATCAGGATACTGCATTATATTTCCTGCTTCCTGCACTGGATTGGGTACTCTTGGTGGGAGTTTTCAAAGAAAGATGTAAATTTCAAAAACTGGCTTCAGAATATCTCTGAAGTCTTTAAAAAATGATTCCAGTCATTTGTGTCTCTATACAGCTTATATGAGATGTGAACCTTCCAGAGGAAGCCAGCCCAAGGAAAACTGGCTTCAAAAAAGCATTCCGGTGTCATTTATCAATTCCCTTAAAACAATTGATCTCACTAAGAATTTGTCTTCAATGACGGCCAACAACATCAGTACAAATTCTGCAATTGGACAAGTCATTGGAATGTCAGAAGAAACTAACTTCAATTAAAGCACTCAAGCTTGTGGGTGTGTAGCCCACATAATCAAACTTGCTTCCAAAGAAAGCCTCAAAGTATTTGGTGAAGTTCTTGATGAAGGCAATTCTCAACTGACAACAAATATACATAACCTTGTCAGCCCCCCCAATGTGACTCATGTTATTCTTGATTTGATCTGCCATTGATTCCATGGTCTAGTCAAATGTACTCAGTCCACCCCTCAATGTGCCCAAGC